GGGGGGGGGGGGGGGGGGGGGGAGATGTAGTCAGGAGTCCTCTTGGAGGTCACTACGTCATGACCGCGACGACCTCAAAAGAAGGACACACGCCTTTGGGATCATATCTCCCCACTAGCTCTAAAGCCACATTATCAAGGCGAATAGGAGACACAGTGGACTACAATTCTCTCTTGGAAGCCACCGAAGCGGATGTTCATTTCCACCAGCTAGGATAGAGGATGGAAGAATACTTCCTGACTACCCACAACTACTTGTTTACGTACTCACAAAAGCATGGCTGCACCGATGCGTGTCTAAACAAAACCCATCTGCCCCTGCGAACAACCAGGAAAGGGATGCTCGTAGTGCCGGAAATTCAGCAAGGAGTGTTAGAACTTCACCAAGGTTCGGTTTAAATCTAAACCATTCTTACCGTTACAACAATTCTATCGGACTATGTAGGAAACCGAGTCCTTTATGATCAGTGTTGAAGGTCCCACGGGGAAATAATGACAATTTTATTCGTTTTTCCAGTCTGAAGGAAGTGGTTCAGAGATTCGCCCTCAGTCACAGCAATGGAGCGGTGTAAAGTAACACGATTCTCTGTGGAAATATGAACTTGTCAACAAACTTCACACAACTTCCCTCAGTTCACACCTGTGATTATGGCCCTTTCATATTTATTCTTTCGAATAATCACAAATTTCCAGCTGGAACTTTTTAATGAGGGGAAATTCGACTGACATGGTGGCCTTCAAGCGGTTATTCACCTTTCAACAACAACTTTCTGTTTTTCATCGTAGTTCTTCCTGTTCACAAAGTTGTTGTGTATAAGAAAACCTTCAGTCTTCACCATTTTTATTTGTTTTATATACTTATCCGACTTGATTCCATCCATATCATTGATCCCACTGTATTATGGGTGGTTAAGTTGGACAATGAAGAGTTATCCACTGATATTTTTTCGGGATACGCCACTCATCCGATTTCTGGAACGGCTCCAGTTATGCCTGAGTTCAAACAGCAGGTTTCAAACTCTGGAGCAAAACCTAATTCTGCCCAGACAACTAAATTACCAATGAGGAGACCAGAAGGCATGGGAGGAGCGATCTCTGCTCTATTGGCCGTAGTGCTATGGCTTCTTCTTTCAAGCTCTTCCCATTTCTAAACGGTTTTTCCTATAGTATGGTATAACAGTCTTCAATCCACCCTCTATTAAGGCCTCGGCTCTCGAAATCAGGTCATATTTAACTCTTCTGCTTAATGGTTTTGAAGAAGAAACCACTCTCTTTATCTAACCATTATCTTATAATTCTCTGGTTGAATTTTGACGGATTTAGTTGAATTTTTATATTCACCAAGTGCTAAAGGAATAAGTTGAAGTCAAAAACTAGGTCGGTCTGTATTATTCCTGGCAGTCGCTAGACATTACATATATATCTCCAAGTTTCCTTTTCTGCCCAACGAATTAAGGATGGTACAGTAAGTCCTTCCTGTGATACTGCAGTGGGTCCTGGCTCGAACACCTGCTTTTGACGCAACGCAGCCAAATAACGGAGCCAAGTATCTCTGTCCTCAAGAACAGGATCAGAGTATTTGCGTCGAATGAACAACGTTACCCGTGATGGACTGCGTCTTTTGAATTTTATTTCACTAAAAACCTACTGTAGGAATCGGGTTCCTGCCCCGAATTTGAAATCAATGCTTTTTCCCAGCGACGTTGTTATAGGATATAAACTAATGGTCTGTGCCACCAATAAATGGCAGAAAACATTACCTCACATCTTCTAACAACATCGTTAAGCTGAAGAACAGCCATTTCCATAGCATGATTTACAGAGCCATAGAGAGGGGAACCCGAGGCATGGTTTTCTTCCTTTCCTAGTTCAATACTGCAGTAACTATAGTGGCCAAGCCATCTATTCGGTCTCCATATTTGAATAATAAATCCTATTGCGTAAGAACAGATTTGCATATGCTTAGGGGGATGGGCCTGAATCCAAAAAAGACTGAAATCTAATTTGCTCGGCACTAATAATTCTTGAAACGGATCCATATCTAAGTGGGCGATCGGGCTATCCTCTTCAAAACTTGTTTTTACTTTCTACTATACGAAAAACACCTCGGCACCTGCAACGAATTGAGTTCTATCCTCTCTCAAGGCAGGATACGACCGACTACTTTCTTCAATTTTTTTAAAAATTTTCCAGCAATACAGACAATAAGTACTGTTTGCCTATGAAAATTCAATATTTCTCGTGAATCAATGGTGATTCTTCTCATCATATTCGTTCGAAAAAGACCTATAACACCCAGCAGAGACGTTTGACCAGCAGCTTTCACAATGTTGAAAAGAGGTTGAATACATGGCGCATCCCACGAATTCAATTGTCACTCCATTTTTTACTGTGGGCCGATAAGCCATAGTTGATGTTCGTTAGTTAGACTCTTACCCGATCCTTTGCCTCAGTTTGTTTACCATTTTGTATCTTTCGCCAATTTCCATTTTCATTTCCTTTGCTCCTGATGCTCTCTGTGGTGCTTCTATCATTACTATTTTGTTCATCGCTCAGATCATCATTCAAAGAGACGAATTCCTCCCATGCAGGTGTCTTCAGCAATCCCCATTCATTTTAGTTTTGTTTGTAACCGGGCGGAATGGGGTAGTAGCAAGCCTCATTCCGTCCGCGTACAAACAAAGCGAACAGTATACTATCACACATGCATGGTCCGGGGATTAAATTTCGGTTCATACTCACCCAAGCGAAGCAAACCTTCTGTCCCTTTGGAGTCTATTAATCCGTACCGATCGCATTCTGCGATGGCAAAAGC